TTTTCATTGTCTTCTAGTACAATACTAGGAGATCATACTTATTAATTTGACAATATAGACTGGCACCAGAGACATGAGTAAAGAGATATCCATACCTAGGTACTCCGTAGGTATCCCGGAATGGTATTATTAACAGCCAAGCGCTGTTTGGTTAATTACGACCCACTCTCCCGCTTCCGACCTGCTTACCTGATCGAAGGGTATGCCTGGGCCTACGTGGCTTGCTCGGTAATAATCCAGGTCTAGATAGTTACTACAACATACAGACACATCTATTATTGAATAAGATTTCAAACTTCAAACAAGCTTTTATTAATCTTTGAGTTCGAGATCCCTTGGAAAAATTCAATTTTTTCAATGGTCTCGGTCTTATTACCCATGGTTCTAGCCATCTGATTACTAGCCATCGGATTACTAGCCATCTGATTACTTATGTCCATGGATGGTACGTCGCTATGACAGTGTTTCTGCTGTCAAGAAGCCGGTGAATGCCCAATTTTATATATATCAATGACTGCGCTCATTGGAGCAGGAGTTGTCCTGTTAGCATTGCGGAGGAAAGAAGTATACATACATATGTGTTGTATGCACGATCAAATAGACCTTATTCTCTTCTCTAATCTTGTAACGAACCACCCAAAGCTTATACCATTTCCGTCTGGTACTGCTTTAGTTTGGGCAGAGCTATTTCACCGGAAAATCAATTTAACCAGATGGTCATGTGACATGCAAGTAGACACTAGAAAGATCTTGTAGAATGGTACGAGTACTCCGTGCTGAGGTCCGTATTTGTGGAAAAAGTCCGATGATTATGATTACTGATTTAGGACAAGATGTATAATTAGAGTAAAGTTGAAGATATATTTTTATTATTGGTTGGGGATGTCCGTCGTAAAAAAGTCCTGCTGTTCAATAGATATGAACACCAGGGTGGAGTAGACGCAGCTCTGCTAAAAACTGTTTGGTTTTGATATTCCACGAACGAACGATTAAAAAATCACCCAAGAGACGTCCAGTGCCACAGGTAGGCACCACGCGGGTTATGTGGTTTGAAAGTTTACATATCTGAATGTTGGATTCAAGTTCTCAACAATCCCTGACATTAAAGGATTGGATTCCCAGGTCTCCAACACACGAATGATGGCTGAAGAAGAAGATAAAGTGTGAAGTGAAAAGTTTTTATCTTAATCTCTGTGGCACGTGACTAAACTAGCGCAGTCACATGACCACTCCCTTTTGTATCGAAAATTTCCGCGCAAATTGGAAACTTTTCTTCTTTACACTTTTCCGAACGCATAATCAACCGCCAATTCCTCTATCATAGGATGGTTGGTCATATTGGCGTACTAGAAGATATTCCTGGGTAACATTACGACTTCTCGACGGCTCCGAAAAAGCTTCGGCTTTTAGGCGCATTGGTAGATGCGAGTCATTGCTGTCCGGACATGCCAGTTATATATATATATATTTGTTGCTAGTATTAATATACATACATAATCTATGTCTGTCCATCCGAAACCGTATGAGTTTAGGCTCAAGTCTATAAATACCTAAGACTTCTTGAAATGTTCTAGAAGATGCTTATAGAGAAAGCAATGCCGAGAAAAAAAAATAAAAAAAGGATTTAGCAGAATGAGATTGTCAACTCAATTCAACTTAATTCAACTCAACCTTGGAACAGTTGAGCTAAAGCCTTTGAATCCTGATTTCCTGACACTATTCTTTTTTTATCTGTACTCCATATACTTCGTTAGTGTACATGTATGTCTCATTTGGAATGATCTGCCCCTCGGACGTCAATTGAACCCTTCTCCGCCCTGGGAACCAGAATTCTTCCCCTATTCCACTTTGTATAACTGTCACTTCTTCTATTTGTTTATTTTATTCTTGTAATTATTTTTTTTGCATCATGGCTCCCGGCCCCAGCAAGCGCGAGCAAGCGCGGAATGAAAAGACCCTGACGGAGCTGATCCGGACCGTTCCTGGCAATGACCGATGTGCCGATTGCGATGCCTTAACCCCAGGTTCGTCCCTAGAGACCCTTATTGTTGATTCCACTGATTCTTATTTGAATAGGATGGGCAAGCTGGAACGTATGTCGCCGCTTCTTTAACCTTCGAGCGAATCCACAAACTGACTGTTCATCTCCGACAGATGGGCATATTCCTTTGCATGCGTTGCGCCGCATTGCACCGAAAGCTGGGCACACATATTTCCAAGATCAAATCTTTAACCATGGATACATGGACAGCAGAGCAAGTTGATGTGAGTACAATCAGGCCCCCTGCAATAGCAACAGTCGAGCTGACAAAGTGGACTTTACTAGAACATGAAATCGCACGGCAACATCCTTATGAACAAGATGAACAACCCGCGGGGTATCAAGCCGCCAATTCCCACCGATATTGATGAGGCCGATGCATGCATGGAACGGTTTATTCGGCAGAAATATCAACACCGCTCGTTGGAAAATGGGAAGCCAAAGCCCCCGAGCAGGGAGGATTCGAGTTACTCCAACCCTAGGGCTATGTCCCCCGTGGAATCAAGAAAGAATAACTATGACATATCCCCCGAGGGTTCTCCCCCTCCGCTTCCTCCAAAGTCTGGAAGGTTTTTCAAGTTTGGTCTACGTTCGTCATCCTCTACATCGAACCTCCGCCGATTTGGTGGTAAGCCCAAGGTGACCTCGCCAACCTCGGATAATGGAGCCTGGTCACCACCACCATTGCAATCCAGGAGGACAACCGGACTCGGTGCACCTGTCGCCGATGTGACCACGGCATCTTTCGAGGCCAAGATGGCGGCATTGCAGCAAATGGGATTCACCGATGACCGACGAAACGAGATGGTTCTCAAGGGACTCCACGAGGATCTGGATCGAGCGATCGAAACTCTGGTCAGATTGGGCGAGGGGGGCAACCCTGTATCAAGATCCAAAACCCCAGTGGGGACAAGCACTGGTGCATCCGCACGTATAGTAATCTCGAAGCCTGAGACGTCAAAAAACCCATTCCCCGTCACAACTGACAACACGTTCCCCGAGGTTTCCAACAACCCATTTGACCGGGCAGTTTCAAATCCCCAAACCCAGCAACCGCAAGCCGCTCCATACAACCCATTCGATCAGCTAAACTCGAAGCCGGCATCTACACAGCCTTTAGAATCATCTTTCCAGGGCCTGCAGGTTTCTCAGCCTTTGTTCCCCCACTCTACCGGTGGATACCCGAACCAGACAAGTTCCATGCTGCACTCTGTATATCAACCGTCCTATACGCCTCCCGTCACATCGACATTCTCGCAATCTCCTTATGTTACATCACCTCAGCCAATGAATAACAGCTACAATCCATTCGACCAGCCGCCGCCGCAGTCGCAGGGTGGCTCAGCCAGTCAGACATATCCCAACCCCAATGCGCCGCAAACAAATCCTTTCTTCAACATTGCGCCGCAAAATCAACCTATGCAGCCGCAACAGCAGCAAATGACGCCGCTCGCAACGCAACCAGGGGGCTTTGAACCCCCTCGCCATGCAAATACCATGCCAGCTATTTCTTCCGCGTCGCCATTTGGACCAAATGCTCCGTTCCAAGCACAGCAGCAGCAGCAGCCGCCGCCGCCATCGAATGGTCTGGGAGCTTACAATCCGTTCCAGCAAGTGTCGGCGCCCAACACAGCACAGAGTGCAGGCGGCTATCCCAGCCAATTCCAGACCCACATGCAACCCCAGCAGCCGCAGCAGCCGCAGCAACTCATGCCTCAACCCACTGGAATGGACAAAAACAGCATTCTTTCATTGTACAATATGGGTCCTGCGCAGTCTACTATGACATCTATCTCCGAGCAACCTCAGCAACCCCAGCAGGCCCAGCAGGCCCAACAACCCCAGCAATATCAGCAACCTCAGCAGTTACAGGCTCAACCACCCACAATGAACCCCTACTCTCAATCATCAAACGCATACACCTCCATCCCTCAGACCCAGCAAGCCACAACCTTCCAGAATCAGCCCCAGAGCCAACCCCAGCCCCAGCCTCAGCAAAATTTCCAACCGCAGCAACCTAGCGCCAACGCCCAGCCCGCCACATCCAACAACCCATTCTTCGGCACCGCGCCCGCCGGCAGTGGATCCGGCCTTGCCGCACAAGCAGGCATCAACCCATACCAGCAGCAATCCTCAGGGTTAGGAATTGGCGGCATGAACGGCCAGCCCGGGGCTGGAGCTGACCCCGCCACTACTCCGGCCATGGGAACGAACAACTCCCCATTTTCTGGAATGAGCAGTCCCCCCTTTGCAGGAGCGAACAGCTCCCCATTTGCTGGAGGCCAGTCCCCCTTTTCAGGCCCGCCACCCACGAACTCGGCGTTCCCACGGACACACATGAGCCAGCCGAGCGTTGATGTAAGCGGCCTGCAGAAGGGTCGCCATAGCCCTGATGCCTTTGCTAGTCTGAGTGCTCGCTATGGTTGAGTTCTATAACTTCGGCCATGGATCGATAGATAGATGGCCGCGCAATGTGAATATGGATGTTGACATGGGCATTGATTTTCATTTTCATTTCCGCTTTGACTTTTATACTAATCTGGATACGGGAGATTGACGAGACGTGTTATGGTTGTGCATGTCTGGCGCATTTTCATTGTCTTTTTACCACTCATTAGATTTTCCTTTCTTTTTACATCTCATTCCCTGCTGTCCAAGTTTTTTTTTTTGTTATTAAAATATTCGTTTGATTTCCGGTTAGCGAGTCAAAATAGTACATAAATGTTGTTCCTTGTTATGTATCAATTTCGAACTAATATATTACTGAATCAAGACAGATTATCGTACTATAGATCTAGGGCTATATGTTCAAAGAAAAGTGAAGACACTAAAGGGAAATAGTAAGGAAAGGTGGAAGGCAGAAGCTGAAGGGGAGAAGAAAAATCCTTGCAGCACCACATATAACACAAAGTAGCTGGAGACCAAAAAAGGCCAGGCAAAGAGCCATGAATTGGCGATCTCAAGACCACAACTCTGCTTCCGTAGGTTTTTTTTTAGCTCCGCCCAACCAAGACGGCAACCCAGGCAACTGATCCGACACCCAAGAAGGAAGCCAACCGGGCTTCTGCTTCGAGAATGAGAACCTCGCTACAAAGCTCTCCCAACGAGTGGGGGGACGCCAAGGCCAAGGTATCGATGTTTTTGCAGATGACGAGAAAAGAGACCCCGCTGAACGTTGCCAAGGCCAAGACAGAGGTGCTTTTGGAGATAATGAGAAAAGAGACCCCGCTGCACGTCGCCATGACGCAAATAATGAAGGAGGCGATGCGGACCAAGGCGTCGAAGACGCGTGGAAGCCCATCCATGACCGCTGTTTTTGCTTGCAAGCCTCTTGCTTGAACGATTCTACGATACGATCGAATTGCTCGTCTCGGCTTTGCTGCACTTGGCGTTGGGCAGTGGAGCGCCAGGCGTCCTGCTCCACCGTGTCCAGGCACCAGACTACGATGTCGCCGCGACGACGCCAGTCGTCGTGCCAGGCGGTGTTGAAGGTGCGCCAGCACTCGTCATAGTGGGAGCTTCGTAGCAGGGGGCGGAGGGTTGGCTCGAGCTGGGCGAAGAAAATGAGGTAGTCGGGCCAATCATGGTGTGGGGCCTCATCGGGGGCATCTTTTGATACAGAATGGTGTGCGGGAGAGATGTAGCTGGGTCGTCGAGGGAAGTGACGGAGACCACCAGCCATGTTCTGGTGTAGGAATTGGTCAGGGTCGTCGTAGAATTGGTCTGCTTCGTCTCGGTAACCGGCTTTCTGGGTCGCATTGAGATCGATCGGGGGCTCGCAGGAAAGGGCCCAGGCGTTAATTGTCGGGTAGACTAGATGAGAGCGCCAGGGTGTGCTGTGGCAGGGCATCAAAAAGCCAGCAGAGATTCCGGTTTCAGAGGTGGAGTTTGTTCGTCTTTTTGTTAATGATGCTGAGTGTGTTTGGTGCTGTTGACGGAGATAGGAGAGGACCTTGATTGTTCCTGATGCGTGATAGAGAGTTGTGTACAGCGCAATGACCACGTTTACAAAAACGAGGAAAAGGAGGATCAACATGCGGGGGTTATAAGGCGCGTGTGCCGGCGAGTAGATGGCTGGGTAAAAGAACTGCACCAAAGGTGGCGCGGCTAAGATATGCAGGCATGGTAGCAATGGGTAGATGAAGCGCACTTCCTTATGAGAAATCAAAGAAAGGACAAATGGCATCAGAAGGCAGACTGTCGCCAGTTGAACTCGGATCGCTGTCTGTAAACTGTCTCCCACTGTAGATTTCCGAGCCGTTAAGGTTGTGTATAAACCTATAAGCGCAGCAGGCAACAAAGTGGTGAGCAGAAGCGGATAACCCTGTGAGATATAGTAATGCCAGTCATTGCTGCCATAGAAGACAGCCAGTGACTGCGCGATGTTGAAGTATAAGAATCTGAGCGGTGGGAAGGTCCAAATTCCATAGAAGAGACGGTCTGCAACGGAAGACACCGCGAGAATTGCCGACCTGTCAGATCAAAAGGTCAGCTGGTCCCTTACCAAAATGTCAGATTACTTACCCGCAAAGTATAACTTCAAAAATGAGGATCTTGCGCTGGGGCCAAGAGGTCCGAAGCCAAGCGAGGCCGGCCAGGGTTGCCCAAACGAGAATGTTGGTTGGCCGCAGTATACATGCGAGCGCCGCCAGCGGTAGGCATTTGTGGAAGCTGTAAGCAGCGTCAGTGGCTGTTGTCATAAACTCGGAGGACCAGTCACACCTAATAATCACACTTCGATCCCTGTCCGTGCCCCTCATTTGATTGCCCGTCTTTTCGCCGCGGCCAACGCCGGCTGTAGAGCCCACTGACCATTGCCATGGCCATAGTTCCAACGCGACAATGGTGATTGTTGTTTCAAAACAGTTTGACAGGGTCCTAGTTGAGCAGAACCATTGCCAGGGATTTAGGACTGTTGCGACCAGCTGTTGAACAATTAGCATGCGCTTTTTCCTGCCTAGAGAAATTCCGAAGCACGCGACACATAATCACATACCGTTGTCCAGGATCCACGGGAATCATTTCCATAGACGCGAACTGCAAGCTTCCACGTGTAGAAATCACCAATTGCCGCCACAACGGCCTGCGCTGTCTTCGGAGCGGCAACCAGGAGCTCTGCGCGGGTGGCGGGAGACACGCTGAGGGTGGAGGCAAGGGAATCGGCGACTTTATAGAGAGCGGCAAAGAAGAGAGGATGTAGGGAGGATCGGAGTCGGTGTCGCCATTCCTAGGAGCGACGTTGGAGGTTAGCCAAAGTCAGGTGCTCCCGCGATCGCATTCGCTCACCCATGTTATCCAGGCCCCTTGGCCTTGACCAAAGGCGATCTGCCAGGCTGGTTCCAGTGACTGAAAGTATTCATCTGGTTGAAAAAAGGTCCGAACTGCGAACGCATTGATGAGACGGAAGGCGATGAGGAAGAGGAGTATGTTTTGCGTGGGCACGGGGGAAGTTCGAGGCGCGCGCGGAAATGTTGGTGTAGGCATGATCAAGGGTAAGAATATTGTAAGTACTCATTCCCTCGTACATTGCGCTCGGAGGTTCAAGATATCTTTGACCTCGCGAAGCGCATGAACATAGACAACAAAGGAGAGGGCGGAAAGAGGGTCTGACTCCGAAACTCGAACTATTCGAGTGGAATCATTGGCCCTACAACATTTCAACCCTTTTGTCTAGTATTTTCTTTTTTAACTATGCATTGAATCTTTATTTGGGGTATACAATCCTTTGTTTTCTCTATGTTTCTATGTTTCTATGTTCCTTTATGTTTTTCTCTAAACTTTTAAGTATTACATGTATGTTGTATATATTGTTACATATATATATACGTATTGTTTTTACCTTCAATAACCGAAGTATGACGTGCATGTCTACCAACTCAGTCTCTTCTGAATTAAATTAGACCAATAATTAATCCCAGCAAGATGATCCAAGAGCATGTATAACCAATGAACGAATCAGAAATGGTGGTTATCAAAGCTAATGGAGCCGTGTAGGGTAATCCTGCGCATAGGGAACAGCATCGGCACGACCTGTACTTAGCGGACATGGGCTCTAACAAGTCTAACACTTAACGGCATAGCGGCTGAACAAAGGGAAAATTCCCCTTACTTATATAACCTCTCTTGTCCTCATGACTTTTTTTTTTGGAATTTCTTCAAATTCTTCAAATTCTTGAATTTCATCTTTCTTCCCTCTCCCTTCTTTTACCCCATTGCCGATCTCCGTCACCTCCAACTTCCCCCAACTTCTTAGCTCTCCCCCGCAATCCACCATGGCTACTAACGGGCCTTTCTCCCATTACCATGCTGCCTCTTCTGCTGAGGCCATTGAGTCCGAGAAGGAATATGCTGCCCACAACTACCACCCTCTTCCCATTGTCTTTGCCCGGGCTCAAGGTACTTCGGTCTGGGACCCTGAAGGCCGTCACTACCTTGACTTCCTCTCCGCCTACTCTGCTGTGAACCAAGGCCACTGCCACCCCAAATTGATTGCTGCACTGGTAGACCAAGCTTCGCGAGTAACCCTGAGCTCCCGTGCTTTCTACAATGACGTCTTCCCCCGCTTTGCCAAGTTTGTTACTAGCTACTTTGGCTTTGACATGGTTATGCCCATGAACACCGGTGCCGAGGCTGTCGAGACAGGTATCAAAATCGCCCGCAAGTGGGGATACAAGGTCAAGGGTATTCCGGAAAATAAAGCCGTCATCTTGAGTGCAGAGAATAACTTCCATGGACGTACAGTAAGTGAATTGTGACCCCTCCCTGTTACACCCGTGAAGGCACATAGGTGGCTGAGGATGCTGACCCCTTGCATTAGTTCGCCGCCATTTCCCTATCCTCCGACCCTGAGTCACGCGAGAACTATGGCCCTTATCTTCCCGGTATCGGATGCACGATCCCAGGAACTAAGAAGCCCATCGCCTACAATGACAAAGCAGCTCTACGTGAGGCCTTCGAGGCAGCCGGCCCCAATCTCGCTGCTTTCCTCGTCGAGCCTATCCAAGGTGAGGCAGGCATCGTTGTCCCCGACCCAGACTACCTGCAGGAGGCCCGCGCACTTTGCGACAAGCACAATGTGCTGCTGATCTGTGACGAGATCCAAACTGGTATCGCGCGCACGGGTAAGCTGCTGTGCCACGAGTGGAGCGGAATCAAGCCCGACCTTGTCTTGCTCGGCAAGGCCATCTCGGGTGGTATGTATCCGGTTTCTTGCGTGCTGGGTAGCAAGGACGTCATGCTCACGATCGAGGCCGGCACCCATGGTTCGACCTACGGCGGAAACCCACTTGGCTGTGCCGTTGCTATTCGCGCGCTTGAGGTCGTGCGCGAGGAGAACATGGTGGAGCGTGCGGAGCAGCTCGGCCACTTGTTCCGGGATGGGCTGGTGGCTATCAAGAGCCCGGTCATCGAGACAGTGCGCGGAAAGGGCCTGCTCAATGCCATCGTCATTGATGAGTCGAAGACGAATGGACATACCGCTTGGGATCTGTGCATGTTGATGAAGGAGAAGGGTTTGTTGGTATGTATCCGAGTCCTAGTCATGAAGTTTGATTCGGGGATCGCTGACTCTTATATTCTCCAGGCCAAACCTACCCACCAGAACATCATCCGGCTTGCACCTCCACTGGTCATCACTGAGGAGGAGATCCAAAAGGCCCTCGACATCATCAAGGAGGCCGTGACAGACCTCCCCAACCTCAAGGGCGCATCCGAGGACCAGATTATCCCCCCCGCGGAGAAGAAGGTCAAGATTGACCTTGAAAATTAGATGCGGCTATAAGAACGGGACCTCTGCAGGTGCCACAGATCACAGCCGCAACCCCAAAGCCGCGTGGGAGATCCACGATCTGCTGTAAGCCATGCATATCATATTCTCCGGATTAGGGCTGGCTACTTGAGATTCCCATTGGACACAAGCCTGAGACGACCGAAATGTCCCTACCTGGAACATTTACTGTCTTGAATCTGCTTGTTATCCCACGACGTGATGATGATGGAATGGTTTTTGTTTTTTTTTTTTTTCTTTCGGTTTTCCTTTTTCGGAGTCAAAACTTGTATGTCATAGCAAAGAATAGATCATATCAATTTGAATTTCGAACACAGTCTGTTAGAATCAATAATAATAAATCAGCCCCCTCCACGAATACGACCATACAGACATTAGTAATCCAAATGTCGGCGAACGGAATGACGAAGTCCGCGATGCCGACTGCCGATGAGAGACTACATACTGCAGTCCACCAGCCCACCCATCCACCAATCCACCAATCCACGGGTCATTGATAGTGAAGTTCTAAGCGAATGCATGTTTGTTTCACTTATTTTATTGTATCATGACAGGCCCAACAAGCCCGATCTTGGGAAGCTTAGCCCTATTAGGTGGGTTATCATATATAGGACCCGGACTTCCGTCTGACTTTTCTTAATAGTCCGTACTCGTTGTCGTATCTATAGCCATTTAAAGCCCCCAAAATATCTATCTTCTCGATTCTTTCTAATTCCCTGATTCCTTATTTCCCTTAATTCCTAATCCCCGGCATTATCTCCGCCTTCCGCATTCAGCATCTTGTCGCTGTCCCCACATCTGTTATTACTCCCACTTTTTCCATCGCAATTCGAATTTCCAGAACACTACCCAGGTGGTCTGGATTCGATAGCAGATCAAACTTCAGCATGCCTGCGCCCGAACCGCTACGTGAAGTAGTGGTGGCGGATGACAAGCTGCAGGCCAATTCCTCGAGGTCGGCATCCGAGGAAGCTAAGGCCTCCGATTTGGACGTGCAGCCTGCGCAAAAGAAAAAATGGTATCGCAGACTCAATCCGCTGCGAATGCAAAAGATCCCCTCCGTTCCAACGGAGCGATCGGTATCACACGAACATGGAGCTTCTTTTTTTAGTGTTATTTCCTTCCAATGGATGTCCCCGTTGATGAAAGTGGGTTATCTACGTCCACTCGAATTGAAGGATATCTGGACTGTCAATCCCGACCGGGCCGTTGACGTATTGTCCGGTCGATTAGACGCCGCATTGGAAAAGCGCACGGAGAGTGGCATTAACCGCCCGCTTCTCTGGGCGTTGTATGACACGTTCAGGTTTGAATTTCTGCTCGGCGGCATCTGTCAGTTTTTCAGTTCGCTGCTGCTGGTTTTTGCGCCATATTTGACGCGGTACCTGATTGCTTTCGCAACGGAGGCTTACGTCGCACAAAAGGCTGGTAAGCCGGCGCCTCACATTGGCAAGGGCATGGGGTTCGTCGTTGGTATCACCTGTATGCAGGTACTGCAGAGCTTGTGCACGAATCAGTTCCTGTATCGGGGTCAAGTTGTTGGTGGGCAGATTCGCGCGGTGCTTATTTCTCACATTTTCAACAAGGCTATGAAATTATCTGGTCGTGCTAAGGCAGGAGGCCAAGCTACACCAGAAGAAGTCAAAGCCTTGGAGACAACCAAGGATGCTCTCTTAAAGCCCGAAGAGAAAGGGAAGAAACAGAAGCCTGATACCGCGCTGCCTGCACCTGGTGGCGTTGCAGGTGATGGCCGCGGGTGGAACAATGGTCGCATCACTGCTCTCATGAGTATTGACGTGGACCGAATTAACCTGGCGTGTGGCATGTTCCATATGATTTGGACAGCACCCATCTCCATTATAGTGACACTTATCCTTCTATTGATCAACATTGGCTACAGTTGTTTGTCTGGGTACGCACTGCTGATAATCGGAATGCCATTTTTGACTTTCGCTGTGCGGTCTTTGATCACCCGACGACGGAGTATCAACAAGATCACAGACCAACGTGTATCTCTCACCCAGGAAATTCTACAAGCTGTGCGCTTCGTGAAATACTTCGGTTGGGAGAGCAGTTTCCTCGGCCGTCTGAAAGAGATCCGTGGACGAGAAATCCGATCCATCCAGACACTGCTTGCGATCCGAAATGCCATTCTTTGTGTGGCGATGTCTATTCCTGTTTTCGCCTCGATGCTGGCTTTCATTACCTATGCGCTATCAAATCATGACTTGGACCCCGCACCGATTTTCTCTTCGTTGGCGCTATTCAATTCTCTGCGGATGCCGTTGAACATGCTGCCAATGGTTATCGGCCAAGTGACCGATGCTTCGACCGCTTTTAATCGAATCCAGGAGTTCTTGCTCGCCGAAGAACAGACAGAAGACATCGAGCGGGATCAGAACATGGAGAATGCAATCGAGATGGAACATGCTTCATTTACCTGGGAGCGCCTTCCGACGGATGAAAAGGATGCAGACAAAGCCGAGAAGAAGGCAGCTGCACGTCCTGAACCAACAGAAAAGTCAATGCTTAAAGAGGATAACGCCGATGAAGCCCCCATAGAGCCGTTCAAACTCAACGATATGACCTTTGAAGTTGGCCGACATGAACTGTTGGCCGTAATTGGAACAGTCGGTTGTGGCAAGAGTTCCTTGCTCTCGGCTCTGGCGGGCGATATGCGTGTGACCGATGGTACTGT